ACAATGGCCAAACCACTTCCCAAGGCATAAAAGAGAAATTCAGGGGTGTAATCTGGTTGCTAAATTATGCTCAATTTACTTTTCTTTTATATAATGAAAATGATCTGCAAAGCTCTGAGTAGCCTAGACATTGTAGCATTTGGCACATAATGTAGCTGGTTAGTGAAAATAATGCTGAGTGTAGAAAGTGATGTAGCATAAGCAGCACCATATTTTCTCATTACTCACTTTAAGCAATAATAATGGCTATCATTACACAAAAATATATACTATAATCATACAATTTACTTGGTCTGCATACGATTTACTTAGCTTGACTTAATACATTTATACCTATAATTACGTACTTATACGCATTCACTCAAGACTCACTATGCAGTGTGCTATTTACTAGTCCCTAGAAAAACAGTTATTTTCATAAGACAGGGTCATATCCTCAAGAAACAAAGAAGACAGGAATTAAGAATAAAGTAAAGGACACACATATCACATATGTGTGATATGGAGAGGAGCACACAAATAAGGAAGCAGTTCATTTTTCCAGGGGGCAGAGAGTCAAAGAAGACTGCACAGAAGAGAGGATATTTGAGACAAATGCAAAGAATCAAAGCAAATGCTATGTCTCTCCGGAGTCTTCCCAGGCTCTTCTCCCACAGGCACAAAGATCTGTAGAATGGCTGCTTTCATCTCATCTTTTGGACCACTTTTAATGCTGAATCATCTGCTCACTTCAAGAAAATGCTTGAAATAATTCCTCACATTTCCACTCACTTGGCAATGCAAGAAACGTCACAGAGATATTCACAATTTTAAAAATCTTCAAGCATTACCCTCTTTTTCTATCATTCCCATACCAGCCCCTTGCTATCCTGCTTCCTGTGTACTACTAAATATTTTATGGCAGTGAATCTTTGTTCTTTGTTTTCTTTTTTAACACAACCCCAGAGATAACAATTTGTATGCTATGCTGGAAACTCTGCCATTATCCAAGACTTGATGGCCTTCTGTTAACTATACCCTCACTGGAAGATAAAATACCAAAATCTTACTGCCTGTGTAGACCTTTCCTGTTACAAAAAGATTGTAAAAAATATATGCTGACACCTGTTTCAGATTCATAAATTGAGGCATTACTTATACCAACAGAAGTAAAGCCATCCCTTAAGATAAAAACCAGGCTCAGGGTCCTAAGGCCCATCCAGCTTCACAAATATCCACCCTCTTGGCTATGGCTAGCTATTGCTTACATAGCATATTGGATTTGCTTCTACTCCGAAGCTTCTATTGCATGCAATGAGAACTAACATCCCAGAGGCATGGCCTTTGTCCCAAGAAACCAAAGAGGCTTTTTTTCTGTCCTTTAAACAAATCTTCTGGAAACCTCAGCATTCAGTCTTCCTGGTAATCATCAGTCTGTATATTTTTATGCTGTGAGTAAAAGGGAATCGTCTCAGGTGTGAACAGATTCACAAAGACAAAGAATGGGCCATTGCTCACTATGAATCAATTCTTCCCTGACTCAGCTGCTAATCTGATGAATCCACTTTGGTCTTAAGCGCCTCTCTGACTATAGCTCTTTCACAGCGCTCCGAAAGACACAATCACATTCTGATAATCTAACAAAACATGCTACTTTATGTTACTCCTCAAACAGAGAAGGCTGGGCTTAAACTAAACCCAGACACTCTACTCCTCTTTCAGTGCAACGGGACTGTCGTGACTGTCTTACTGCTACTGATCACTTTTTAAACCCAATGTTAACTTCAAAAACTAATGGTTTTCCAAAATTACTGATGTACATTTTATGTAGATATGCCATTTTGCCCAGAACAAAAAAAGTGGGTTTGAAATATGCAGTAATAGTAGAAAGTAGAAAATTCTTCTTTGCTCCCTGTTCTTGCTTACTCACATGACTAATCTTTGGTGCATGTTTTTATTATGGGCAATGAAGGAAACAATGAGAATGTATCACCTTAGTAGGTATAAAAACGTTTATTTTTCCATTCATTGATGATTTGTTATATATCATTTAATTCCTTTATAATATAGGTGTTATAAATTGCGTTGCTCTCCAAATAACTTAGGCATGAAAATGTTTGGCTCACAGTAAAGCCAAAGAAACTGCCATTTTCTCTTTCGGGCCCAACTAGTTGTCTTTAAAAACTTTCTTTTGTTGTTGTCCTACTCTAAGATTAGGCCTCAGATTTAGGATTAAACAGAATCAAACAAACAAATGAAATTTACTGATTAATAGGGTGTCTCTTCCCCCAAAATTAGAATGGGCCCAAGGATCTTCTTCCTGCTTTCATGGCCCATGGAATGAAAAAAATATACAAAGGAGATAACACAAATGATAGATAAATAACATGAGTTCTTCTAAATTGGCCTATTTTGTCACACCTGCCCCATTTGTCAATCCTGTTTTAGGAAGCTAGTAAAGACACAGTGTTTCTATAGAAGAGCACAATGTACTCATCTTTGCAGTCCAGGCTTTTAAAAGAAGAACCTATTATAGAAGAATGAAATGATTGTTCTGCATTAGGCTTTTAGAGCAATATCATCTTAAAGCACATGTCCCTGTTCATTGAATGAAGTATAAAAGAGAAATTTCTGAATGGAAATAATACTGGGAAATAACCTTTACAATGTATACAGTTGATCAAAACATCAGGAGCTAAAATCTTATCTTAAATCTAAAAAACTTATTAATAAAAACATACCTAATTGTTAAACTACAACAAAAAGTAGTGGCTTTTCAAGCTATGTTTCACAAATCCCATGATTATGGACTTTTTAGCTAGTAAAGGCATGCATATATTCCTTGGAAAGAATGCTGCACAGATATTCTAGATGAGTTAGTGTACAACCATGACTGGCTAATAATATAAAAGACTACATAATTAAAATAGAATAAACTTTAGAGTTTGAGTCCCCAGGTAATGATATGCTAGGAAATTGGAAAGGAAGATTGTACAAGATATATAGATAATTCTAAAGCTTATAGTCAGCTTATATGCAAATAGGGCTAATAAAATATAACTTCTTTGCACTAATAAAGAAATACCCCCTCACCTTTATGGGATCCAAGTAGCTGCTACCTACTTTGGTCCCTTGCTGGAGGCATGTGTCTCTGCCCTTGGGTAGTAGCAAAAAAGAGAGGAAATCCCTCTTTTGCTTTCCGCACTTCTCCCACCAGACCCTTCTGATGAGGGGTCATTTTTTGCTCAGTTGTCTCCTCAAAACAGTTTTCATCCCCATGCTTTCCCAAGAGCTGGAGTCCAAGCCCTAACACACACCTGTGAATATGCCCAGGATCTGACTTGGGCCGCTGAACTTGGCACAGAAATAGTTGCTGGTAGCTTTATTGAGATGATGCTCTCACATTCCTGACGGCTCAATTCTGTGACTGTCAAAGTATGGAAACCACACAAGGACCAGCCCAATACCTCCTGGACTTTAATACTATAATATTTTGAGAATAAAGATGAAATTTTAAAAAGAGAGATAACCCAAATCGTGCTTTATCAAGATGGCTTAGAATTTTTTAAATGTATCTAAAAATGCAACCATGATTTATGACAAAGGCAATAGTGGGATACAGCGGGGAAAAATTTTTTTCAATAAATTGTGCTAGTTTAATAGACTATCCATATAGGACAAAAAATGAGCCTCTATCTAAAACATACACAAAAATAAATTCCAATAGAGTATATATCTAAACATAAAATATAAAACAATAAAGTTTTCAGAAGAAAACATAGAAGAATGTCTCTGTGACCTTGGAGGAGGCAAATATTTCTTAAACAAGACACAAAAAGCACTGACCATGAAATTTAAAAACTGGAAAAATTGTACTATATTAAAATGCCTACTTGGTGTCAAAAATCACCATTAAGAGACTGATAAATCAAACAATGGCACCGAATGCTGTCATATATATATATATGTCAAAAGATTCATATCCAGAATATACACATATATATATATATATATACACACACACACACATATATATATGATCTTAAGCATTGAGAAAAAGACACACAACCCAACAGAAAAATGAACAAAAAACTTGAATGACCACCTCACAATAAGCATAGAATGGCTAATAAGCAAGTATAAAAGGTGTTCAGTCCCATTAGTTATCAGGGGAATGCAAAATGAAGCCACACTGTAATACTACCACCTACACACAAGGATGGCTAAAATGGAAAAGGCGGGGAAATACCGCATGCTAATGAGCACGTGGCGCATCCCCTTTGAGACACTGCGTGGCAGTCACCACAAGGCGTGCTCCCGGACACTCAGGCTCTCTCTTCGTACGGTTCCCAAACTGGAAGACACGGCCATCCGCAGCGGAAGGAGGAATAAAACATCATGTATTTTAGGTGGGGGGCTATCAAACGAGTCTGAAGACTCCCCACGACACACAGGCAGCTGGAGCAAATATGCAGCGGGTGAAAACGACGCAGAAAGCACGGGTACTGCACCAGGACCGCATTCACAGCGACCGCGGGTCTGGGTCTCGGTTCCTCCCAAGTCCTGGAGGGGCGGAGCGGCAGGGAGCACGAGCGCGGGCTGCTGGGGCGCACGCAAAACTCAAGTTCCTGATCTAAATGCTGGGTACATGGGCTTATCCAGTTTCCTGAAAACTTATCCGGCTGTATCCAAATTCATGTTAAAACTGAAACGAAAGAATGACAGGAACAGGCCAAATACCGCGCTTAACACCCAGGCGACCAGGAGGCACCGCACCTCCCCCCGCCAGGCCCTGCGCACGCACAGCGAAGCGGGAGCCTCATTGGCTGGGATGGTGGCGCGCTTCCGGAAGTCGCGGCCTCTTCCGCTTCCGGGCCAGTCTCCTTCCCGCCTCCGCGCCGCCCTCCGCGTGGCCTGAGCCCCTGCCTCAAGCCGCAGAGGTGAGCGCGTCGTGTGCGCCTGGCTGCTGCCTCTCCCTCCAGGTCACTGCGCCGGCTTCGGGCTTCGGCTCTGGCGCCGCCATCATGAACATCCGCAACGCCGGGCCGCGCGACCTCATGAACATGCAGCACTGCAACCTGCTGTGCCTCCCCGAGAACTACCAGATGAAGTACTACTTCTACCACGGGCTGTCCTGGCCCCAGCTCTCCTACATCGCCGAGGACGAGGACGGGAAGATCGTGGGCTACATCCTGGCCAAGATGGAGGAGGACCCCGAGGACCCGCCGCATGGCCACATCACCTCGCTGGCGGTGAAGCGCTCGCACCGGCGCCTCGGCCTGGCGCAGAAGCTGATGGACCAGGCCTCCCGGGCCATGATCGAGAACTTCGGCGCCAAGTACGTGTCCCTGCACGTCAGGAAGAGTAACCGGGCCGCCCTGCACCTGTATTCCGACACCCTCAACTTCCAGGTCAGTGAGGTGGAAACCAAGTACTATGCAGATGGGGAAGATGCTTATGCCATGAGGCGGGATCTCTCGCAGATGGCAGAGGAGCTGAGGCGGCCGCTGGAGCTGAAGAAGGGCGCGTATGTGGTGCTGGGCCCCAGGGAGAAGCAGGGCACCCGGGGCGGCGCGCGCCCTGGCTCTGAGGAGTCGCGCCAGGAGAGGAGGAGCCGGGGCGCTGGCAGTAGTGGCAGCGACAGCAAGGAATCCAGCGAGTCCGTGGAGAGCACCGATGTCCAGGACAGCCCAGAAGACTCGGATTCCACCTCCTAGAACCTGCTGAAGGTACTGTCTCTTCTTGACCCAATTCCTTCCCTCCCTAAGTCCCTGCACCATGCCTCAGCCCGCCCAGCTGCATCCTATCCCATCCCACCCGGGTGGTCTTGGGGAAAGGTGTAGATTCGGTTGGGGGAAACTCATTGCTCACTATTGGAAATTAACAGCACTCCAACTCATATGCTGAAAGTAGATACAATTCTGTAAAAAAAACAAGCATTTATCCTGCCTTTTTTGGTATGAATTGTGAACCACGTAGTTGATGAAATAAATTCCTTCTTTATAGAACTATAACAAATGTAGAAACAATGATAAAATTATAAAATAACTATTTTGCAACTTTTGATGAAGTTATATATCTAGCCAACTGTTATGAGTGGCTAATACTATTAGGTAAAAGTTGGAGCTCTTTTTAATAATGGATCAGACAGAGCCAACACTTCAAGTCAATGATCAAGTGTAATATCACTAAAAGACAAGTATTATGTGCTCCCTAATGCAATAGGATGTACACAATAACACATAAAGGTTCTTGCTAAAAGGAAATTTTATATGTATGTATAAAATTCATTTTGGATCCAAACAAGGCTCTAGATCTAGCCACTGTTTTTGTTTTTAATATATCTTTATTGATTTCAGAGAGAAGAAGGGAGAGGGAGAGAGAGAGAAAAATCAGTGATGAGACAGTTACTGATCGATTGCCTCCTTCACACCCCAACTGGGGATCCAGCCCACAACCTGGGCATGTGCCCTGACCTGGAATCGAACCTCCATCTCTTGGATCCTAGGTCGATGCTCAACTGCTGAGCCACGCCCGGCCAGGCTCTAGCTACCATTTTTTAAACGATAGCTAATGGAGCATATTAAACTCCAACATGATTCAGTCGTTCAAATCCAGAATGAGAGAATTTCTATAGAACAGATGATGTAGTCTCTTTAACCAATAAGTGTCATTTTTAAAAAGAGGAGGAGGAATTTATTAAAATAAACTTTAAAGATATATTGACCAGTGCATACCATTGTGGACATTGTTTGATCCTGATTTAAACAAACCAAATACAAGACATTTTTAGTGAACCAGGCAAAATTTGAACATGGACCATTAAGGAATTAATAATTTTGTTAGGTGAGCTAAATTGCATTATAGTATTATATTAAAAATGTCCTTATCCATTAGAGATACATACTGAAATAATTAGAGGTGAAATAATATGGTTCCTAGGATTTACTTTAAAATACTCCAGCAAAAAAGGAAAACAGAAAGGGTTGCTAAGGGGGAAACAGATAACAGAAGATTGGCAAGATAGAATAATTGTTGAAGTTGGATAACAGGTAACTGGGAGGTTCATTAGGTTTTTTTGAATGTGTGAAAATTAACAAGCTAAAGGACAAAGACAGTTATTGTACTTCCTTAATCCACACTGACACTAAGCTGCCACTAAAAGTAGTTTAAAAGACTTTACTTTCTATCAAGGAACTTTGTAAACACCTTAAGAATTTCAAAGGTCAATGAGCTACTGTCAATTTAGAAGCTTTTAACTTGTAATTCTAGTCACCTTACCCTTAAATGCAAAAAGGCAACAACTTCCTCATCACAAAGTCTAGTCATGGGTGGCATACACTGCATATGACTAAAATAAATGCTGTCTGATTATTTACTCATTCATAAAAATTTTTCTTTGTCAGACATAAGGTTTAGAACTTGGTATACAGCAGTTGTCAGGACAACTGATGTTTACATTGAAGCTTTAAGAATATATGAACTATATTTTTTATACAGCAAGCTAATGGCACAGTAACCCTGTTTTATTTCCATTCACTTATAGTTCCATAGGTTATAAACATTTTAATATAGAAAGTTCTTGAAAGTTAGAAAGAATCTGTTCTCAGAGGAGTCTTTGCATCTGACTTTTAACAACCTGAAGGTTTCATAATGACTGATTGATTTGGTCTAAAGTTAAATGCAGCAGAACAGTCTAAAGGGGAAGATAAAATTAAGCAAAACTTATTGCCTTCAGAGGAGTATTTTCACATTTACAGCTGTCTTGAAAATCTGGAGGGCTCTGTCAAGACTATTTTGTTTAAATGAACAAACCTTTTTAAAAATTAACAACTTTCAAATTCTTATGTAGAAGGACTTACATAATATTGACTATTGTAACATAATATTGGTTATTGACTTCTCCTTAGTGTTAAACTGTAGCCTAGAAAAATTTATATAAAACAGAGCTAATTGCAGATTGCATACTCTGTTTATATGAAATGTATATAGAAATATAATTGGATGACTTCAGGAGCACTTAATATTGGCTATGAGAAACAAAAATAACTGCACCCCTTATAGAGGAAGAGAAAAATAATGAGAAAATCATTGTGGCAGTTACAAATCTCAGTGCAAATGTGTAAATTCAGGAATTAGGCAAATCTCGGTTTCTCGAATGTTTCCTGTCTGGAACAATCAGGTTCTCGACTGTCTTAGAACAAAATTTAGGCTCTTGACCTGACAACTCTTTCATGCTGATATATCAGCATGACAAAAAGCGTCTCTCAGGCCAAAAACAAAGGAAAGAATGCAAATCAGTTTACCACCTTCTATGAATGAATGAATAAATACATATATATGTATATTTTTTTTCTTTTGCTGCTGGCAAAATGGATGATTAACACAATTTTAAAATATAAAGAGGCCATCAAGAGAGCTAATGTTGCTAAGGGTGTGAATGAAACAATGATCACAGGCAGTTGAAGAGGTAGAAAAACTGTTGATGTGGATAAATGAAAGAGCCATTAACAGCATTTCGGAGGCAGTGATATTTGAAAAAGCGAAGATGCTGCATGCTTACTTCCTAAAAGACACCCCTGGAATGAGTGCTGAAAGTATTTCATTTAAGGCTAGTACGTGGTGGTTCGATAAATTTAAGAAAAGAGGTGTTTGTTTATAGATTAAGCTGTACATTAGACTATGAGTGTAAATAACATCTTGGGATACCCCAAACAGTAATATAATACTGCAATACCTGTGATTTTTATTGATGGCAAAGTCATATGTATTGTTAATACTGTGCATTGGTGTATATATCCATAATTGAAGGAAATGCTAAATTTCAGTTAGAGGTTGGTGAAAATGCAGAATTTTTTTGTTCCAAATCCAAGGTCATGCTTCTCCTAAATTCTATTAATAGATCCCAAGTTAGGAATTTCAAATTGAATGATTCTGCCATTTTCTAGAATCATGTATCCTTTCCTTGTTCGTATGCATTCACCTTGCAAATAAGGGAAGAGAATGCACATAGATGTTCGTATATGTTTTAAAAGTCAGTCCCATTTCCCCAACTAAGTGAAGGGGAAGCTAGGAAATGTAGTTTGCCAGGAGGAAAAGGAATGAGTTCTGGTAACTACACAGCACAGTTTCTGCCACAGTGGGAAACATGCTTGTGGTGCTCCGGGCTATGAAAAGTTCTGCTTTCACACCCAGCTAGGAGCACGGGATCATTCTGGTACTTTCTCTCCATAACGTGGCACAGAAAACTCTGTGATGCTATTTGGGTTGTCTGCTTAGTCACATGACAAATATGTCTTCTGCTCTTGCGCAAACCTGGGCATAGGAAACTGGGATTCTGCCACCTTGCTGACTTTATGCCTCTCAATAAAGTCTGGAAGAAATAAATAAATCCCAATAAAGAAATGTACAAATCCCTTTACTCTGAAAATCTCTGAAACTTCTAAAGCTTTAATTACCATCCCTCACCTTCAACCTATTCAAAGGGGATTCACTGGTACATATACTAATTGCCTGAATGGCAAAAGGCTACTATGAAGAAAGAATAGAAAAAATTTTAAAAGGTTAATACAACAAACGTATAATCCTGCCACAATTGTGGTGCTCCCTCCTTTGGAGCTAGACTTCAGACACCTACAGAAAAAAGGTCCTGGAAGAAATAACTTCATTTTCTTTTATCTCTTCTTTTGGGCCTGGGCAACAGAGACAGGTGGTCTTAGAAGTTATGGTGAGTTGGGCAGTTGGTGAAGAAGACTGGGTGTCATCTACAGAATGGTTATAAAGTTTACTACTAACACTATGAGAACTCACTGTTACAGCCACTATTTTAAGGACTGTCTGTGAACTGTGTCATACAACCCCCATCCCTCTGAAGCAGGTACGCCTACTCCATTTTACAGATGAGGGCTTCCTGCCACACAGATCGTGAGTGAAAAAACAGGGATGCAAACTCAGGTAGTGGGTGAGACTCCACAATGGTGAGGATTAGATATCCTGAAAGTTTAGCTCTTAAATTTGTAGGAATAGTAACCATTCAGGTTCTTTTCTTTTCCACAGTAATCAAATCATAGAATGTTGTGTATGAACAGCAACAGTTTGCAGTCTTGGAAGGGAGATGCATCTTCATGATTAAAATAGCTTTCCTGACAAGCTGAATGTCAAAGCATTCAGCTGAATCAACTCATCATCTGCAGAGTTTCTAGGGAGCCATAGCAGTGAAGACAGGTCAGTTCAAAACATGCTAGTTGCGGCAGGAATGCCATCAAACTGATGCTCACCTCCTGACAAGGAATATGTGCTTGATGATTAATAAATATGAAAAAAATGCAAAATCTTAGAGTTTTCCTTTGAGCTGGCAATATTGAGTTAACCAAGGTTACTTCAGTGACTCTCCCTTTCTGGTTTATTCTTTCCATCGCGAAGCTGTCATCCTAACAAAAAGTTGTTAAATGTTCACATGAACACTCACTGAAATAGACTGTTCTTAATTTTACCAGACAACTAATTATAACTGGAATGATATAATGAAATATGGAAGAAAGTTAAAGACTGACAGGTCTGGTAAATTCCTAGTGTAACCTTACCCCAGATATGCCAGAAACCATAGATTTCAAATGCAACTGCACTCTAGATAAAGAGGGGGTTGGGAAGAGATAAAATACTGTTTTGAAATACTAATCAGAAAGATACAATTTTTTAAAATTATTTATAATCTCAA